CAAACTGTTCATGTCAAACTCTTCCTCTTTGAATTAAGTCAAGTGATATTTAATTGGTGAGGCATTCAAGTTTTAGAGGGATTTCATTTTAAAGTCTCTTCTGTCCATGTCTTAAAAACTTCTACATAAATGATATAATGTTATTTGTAACCTTCAGAAACTGCAGGTCACTTGGTTTATCAGCACATTTGCAGTTCAGTCTTGCATGTAATAACATTGAACCTTACAAAAGTGTATATTGGCGGCTTATATAAAAATGAAGATATTGTGTATTTACTGTAAATCTGTATTCTGTGTTAGGGTGGATCTTCCAGTAATCCCTCTTAATTTGCCAAGAGTTTACTGCAAAATAATTCACAGCACATTAGCTCTGAGTGTCCTACACTCAGCAGGTATGTAAATGCACGTTTTGACAAGCATCAGACATGTTAGTAGGAGCATAAACGAAAGCTGGAATTGCAGGTTATGATGTGTTGAAATTGTTTTTGTTGGAAGAAAAATCAACATGTTTCATAAAGCTATGGGACAACCAGTATTTTGCCTAGCATGTGATGTGTGTGTGTCTGTGCGTATGTTGGAGGGGTATATTGGTAAAATTATGATTACATGATCAAATGAATCAATACAAATGCTGCCAGATCGATAGGACTATTTGCTATAATAGAGAGTGAAAGAGAATGAGGAAGCATGGAAATTGGTCATAGTTTTAAATCTGACCTCGGTTGCACTTCCCCCTTACAAGGAAACTGTGTGGACAAATTAACAAAAATATGTAAGATATAGTGTGTGAAACACTCAGTTTAGGAGATATTTCACTTCAAATAGACACCGTTTTAGACATTTCTCTGAATAAGGTAATTTAATAGACTGGGGGAAAAAAATGCTTAAACTCATCTGGTCCTACATTTTATATCATTTTAGCTTTTTACTCAGGATCCAGAGTCATTAAATCCACTTGATACTTCTGTTAAATGGAGATATACCAGAGAAAAACAACTCTCATTTAACACCCAGTGTCTCTTTGCACAAAAAAAGGCACATCATTGGCCTCACCAACTGTTCCTAAAAGATGTATCCATAAGTAGCACATTAATAAAATACATATATTTGGGAATTCGTTTTTTCGTATGAACATAATGAAATAATGTAGATTATGCCTCATGCCCTTTTTAATGGAGATTGGCGGGGCTCAATAGCAGATTTGAGAAATTAGGACGATCAGTAGCTGATATTTTGTCATAGGTGTGTAGTTCTTTACTTGTTTATCACCATAACATACATTATCTGCTGTACAACAAACAAGACCAAATTGTGATTCATCACAGGCAGGAAAGAAATATACAAGAGTATATATTCGAGTTCACCTGGTGAAAGCTGGCATCTGGCATCATGCAGATTATAATACCTCATAAACCAACACGAATAAGCCCACTTTATGACAGTTCAGACTGTTTCTCAGTTTGCAGAAAAAGCTTCTCAGTTTTAAGGCGCAACAACAACCTGTCAGTAGTCTAAGCCCATCTGTACTGATGGCTGCCTATTGTTATTACCATGGTTACACTAACCCTGGTATCTGTAGGCTTTAACATTTGTTTTAACATCAGATAGTAGCTGAAGAAACAAAAGTTCAGTGTGCTAAAGTGCTTGACAATGAGTGATAAAAAAAAACATAACATAGAAAACAACATAAATCAGAACTCGGTCACATACGATAGTAAAATAAAATGAAACAAAACAAAATAAAAAAATGTTATGTACATACAAGATCTTTAAGGATCTTAGTCCAATCATTTGTTTTTTATTATTTCTTGCCTAGGGAGCTTGTGATATTTTAGCTTTATACCTACACGTATTTCTTCACACTACTGTGGTTTAGAACAAAGGTGAGAAAAAGGTAGACTCACATCAAATTCAAAGTGTTGAAAAGATTATTATCAACTGATCTCAATTAGTGAGGAAGACATTTACATGTTCATTTTGAAGAGAATATATTAACTGTGTTATTTGAGTTCAAATAAAATGTTACTTCACAGAGCAGAGCACATTTTTACAGTGTGTGATGGGTTCAAAGGTCTCGTAAATGCAGCATGAACACTGCCAAGAAAGATGTGGTTAAATAAGCAAGAAAGTCCTTCACTGTCCAGTTTCTCTAATTGTAGGGAGTGTCCACTGACTGTAAAAGGTGGTACATTTAGATCGACCGACTCATTTTTGGGATGTTACACTTTTAGTAAACAACTAGTCAGTCAGGTGAGAGAGGGGGCGTCCTTCAGTTGTTGGCGGGGATCTTTGCTTTGATGCGGTTGATTTTGAGAGGGAGCAGGCCGACCATCTCCCGACTCAGCTCCAGCTCCGTCTCCACTGTGGCCACGGCCTCTGGGTGGGAGTCACAGTAATCCACCACATATCTAGACAGGTGTAGGGTGAAAGTGATGGTCAACACATTAAAGGTCTCCTATTATGCTATTTTTAGGCATATATTATGGGTCTCAGATATATAAAAAATATAAAAAACATGTCTATGATGTATTTTGCTCAAAATACCAAACAGATCATGCATTTGAGACATCCCTCATATCCCTCTATTCCAGCCCTGTTAGAGAACTGCAGGTTCGGGGGCCTTAGCTTGAAACAAAAAAAAGGAGGAGGGGGAGCTAATGCCTGCCCTTAATTCTACCGGAGATAAAGCTGCCGTGATTAAATGCCATATCGTGTTCCAAACACATCAAGGATTATTTCTGAAACAGTATGGAGCTCAAATGCTTTTTCTCTTGCCGGTTTATCACAAGGTGAGTTCCTTTTTTTATTTCTTACTTTTTTACACATACTCTCTCCGGTACAGGATAGCTCTGAGTGTTAGCGATGCTTGCTAATGTAAACAAAGACCATTACGTCCAAAACACGTCGGCATTGTTTCTGATAGCAACTTTCTGATAGTGCCGTGGGTTCGCATTTCCGATATGATGTAAGACGCTAATCTGGATCAGCTCCGTTGTACCCCCGTTTTCTGAGATTTGGGTACGGAGGAAAAGAGAGAGGGTTTTATTTTCTGACACTTTGTGAGTTCCCTGACACACCGGGGACACATATTTATGTATAAAAGACATCAAAAAGTGCATTTTGCATGATAGGTCCCCTTTAAACAGATAAACAACATTCCCACTAATGTAATTTAATACTAATTCATGTTAACTGCTTTCAACACAATTCCTCTGAATGCGTCTTTCTGATTTCCTAACGTCTCTACATCATGTCAACCTACGCACACTTCTCCTACATTTTTGATTATGCAACCCAGAAAGGGTTTGGATGTATGATTAGGGCTGGGTTTCCTCACTGATATCCTCAATGGATTAATTTCTGATTGGATCCGATTAAGAATACTTCAGTTACAATACAAATATTGCTTTGATATGAAACATACTACAGAGACATACTTTTTGACACCACTTGAAATGTATTTGGCAGCGCTGCCTGGTGGTGAATTCTGTGGAGCAGCCGCCGACATTTACAAAAATAAAATTCCATAGGTTTGCCCAGTAGAAACTTTATTCGTATATATATTAATAGTCTAATTTCTGATGTTTTAAATCCATATTGGATCATGATAGTGAAGATTGAATTGAACTGGAAAATCGTTTTCCTTTCCTTAAACCCAGCCCTATGTATTGCCATATATTTACAAATACACTATATTCTTACTTGTAGTGTTCCAGCGACTTGTCAAGGTTTTCCACCTGACCGGGGGGTGAGGTGCAGATCAGCCGGCTGTAGAGTCGGGCCACCCTGAAGCGAGCCACCAGAGCCGGTCGGAGCACCTCCTCCTCCAGATGCTCCGGCTGCTTCCCCTCTGGAGAACACAGAGAGTCTAGGAACATCTGGAAGTACCTGGAGAGGAGAAGGGAGGATTTACAATCATTTAGAGTGAATATATTCAGATGCACTAACACACAGCTCCTACAAACACAATCACTCACTTGGCAGAAGCAGAGCAGAGATTGTTAAATTTCTTAACGGTGTGGTTGTCAAGAGATTCTGTTTCATCTTGTCTGTTGGCTAGCGTCAGCTTCAGGTCCATCATTTCATTGTAGGTCTCAGCCAACTCAAACATCATCTGTCTGCGGATCATTAGGTAGTACTTGGAGTTCAATTCTGTAGTGAAACAGAGAGTCAGATTCAATCAATCATGTCTCTTTACCTGGACATTTGCGTTGAACATTGACAACAACATATTGTGTCATCTTTTTCCATTGAAAATACTCAAGTTTTTACACCTCATGATTGTTATAAATGCATTGAGGTAAAGCAAATGCACTTTTGGTTTATGATGTGAATCTAGATGTGAAAGTGAATTTATCAGCGATTAATATATTTAAAAGGTCAATCAGGTATTGAAGAGAGACAAATGGAAGATGCAACTACCCATGCAGACAGGCTCCATCATATCAACTCTTCGTTTGTGCATTTTGCAGCGCCGGTCCAGATCCTCTTCATAGAAAGCCAGGGATCGGAACAGAGAACTGTGATCCTGCAGGATCTCTATGTGGTCCGTCACATAGCCGTCCATCTGAAAGTACTCTTTGGCCTGCAAGATTAAGTGAAAAGACGGAGAGATTACAAAGTTTAGCAGTTGTAACTATACACAGTGGGATAAACCCAAGAGCCATGTTTTTTATTAAAGAAATCTTGGTTTTGTGCTCCACACATGATTTTACTCATTAGCTTTTAATACACAGTTGTTTGAGCAACAACTCTACCATTAATACTAACTTAAACAGACATTTCAGGCCAAAATAAAAAACTCAGATATTTCTCCTGTGGTTTTATCAATCAATCTAGATTGTTTTGATGTGTGTTGCTGAGTGTTTGAGATATTGGCTGTAAAAAATGTCTGCATCCTCCAATTTAAAGGTAGGTAAGTTTGAGAAACCGGCTCGAGATACACTTTTTGTTATATTCCATGGAATGCTCTTAACATCCCGATAGCAATGAATATCTTAAGTGCTTTGACAAAAAATCCATACAAAAAAATGTCATCTGTGTAAGCCGTAATACTGTAAAAAGCATGACCAATAACTGGATGGCCTACCTGCCTGTCAGCCTTCCATCTGTGCACAAACTTATCTCGTGCCCTCATTGGTCATGTGCGCGTTCGTGTGTGTTGGAGGAGGGGCTCTGTAAGGAAGTGGCAGATTTTCTCCGGTTGTGTATTTTCAAATTCTAGCGATCTCGAGCCGGTTTCTCAAACTTACCTACCCTACCTTTAACGGAACTAGGGCAACAAATATTTAATTTGAGAAACTCAAAAGAAACTTCTCTTTCCATAAATCCTGAGCAGGTTAATCAAAAATAATTGACAGACCTTATTCTATTTTTATTTTGTATTTATCAGTTTCATGTAGGAACTAGTGTCTTTCTTCTTCTTCAAAACTATCTCAATAAGCTTTACAAACTGCGCTGGGAAGTAGAAATACATGACATAACTCAAAAGCATTGGTTAGTTAACATGTTTAATCTTATGAGCTAGTATGGATACTTCAATAACTCCACTGCTGTTTGTGTGTCTGGTTGCTGGTGTAAGATTGTCTACATTTTGTATTAGTCTGTCCAACCCAGTTTCAGTGTGAGTGTGTCAGTGGGCTTTACAAACCTCTGTGACATAATTTTGTCCCACCAGAAATATGGCTCTGGCCTCGGTGAAGTCCATTGGCAACAAACAGCGCACCTGGAAAACGAAGCAGAGTTTCAGCTCCTAAAATGGGTTTAGTATTTATTTGTAGAATGGCGCCCTCTGGTGACAGTAATTTTAAATGTGTTTCCTAATGTATTACAACATGGTCTGTAACACTAATATTTATTATAATGACTGTACAAGCAGAACCAGCAGTAGCATCAGAAAGTGTATTAACCTTCTCCTCCAGGCTAGCAATGGAGTCAAAGGTGTCTTCAGAGCCAAACAGCATAGCGCTCTTCCTTTCCTTTTCCTCCTCTTCCTCCTCAAGTCTCCTCCCTCTCTTCATTTCTTCTTGACGATCTGTATCCAGCTCCCCAATGCTGTCCTGTTCACAAAGAAATTCAAAACAACAACCATCAACTTTAAGTAAAAGCCCTTACAAGTGATTTTCTTCAAACCTACAATATCCGATACAATATCTATCCGGCAGTGGCTCAGTCAGAAGGGGCTAGGACTGGGAGCCGTAGGGTTCAAGTCCCCGACCAGACCTAAATATGGACTGCTACTTGGAGAGGTCCCAGTTCACCTCCTGCCCTGCCGTGGAGCAAGGCACCGGACAACCCCCCACTCCCATTGCCCCCCGGGCGCTGTACAATAGCTGCCCACTGCTCCTAGTACTAGAATCCTGGTACTAGGATGGGTTAAATGCAGAGAACACATTTCACTGTGTGCTCTGCATGTGTGACCATTAAAGAGGGTTTCATCCCTTCCAATATTATTAATATTATTATCCTATTTTCTGTCACTAGGGGTCTCTCAATCAATACAATAACAAAGGCAGAGTTTGGTAGTTTTGTAAGGTAGTGTGGAATCACAACAACGTTAGGATTCCTTCGTTGTTCGGGAGATTTTTACTGAGTGACACATTATGCAGGTCAAATTGACAGTGAAGAAAAAATATTTAAAAAGTGTTTAAAAATGTAAAACACTTCAATTCAAGACAGCTTCTGGCATACAACAACAACATTGATGCATTTGAAAAGATGGACAGCGCAACTGATAGCTGAGCAGACGATAGAGACTATGAATGTATAACACTTTTTACATGTTCATATAAACACACACACACACACTGTTACGTGCCGTAGTGTGTGTGTGTGGGTGTGTGTGTCTTTCTCTCTCTCCCTCTGATTCTCCAGGTGCAGCCTGATTGTCTCCAGGTGCAGCCTCTCTCCCAGGTGCTCCCAATCCCCAATCAGGGCCTCCATATAGGACCTGAGGAAGGCTGCAGTCGCTCCCCCTTTCTCCTCTGGCTGCATGGGTGCAGCACGTCGTCTTGGGTCTCTGTGTGGGACCTGGTTGTCCATTATTGTTGGATTAAATCTCATGTGTGAACAAAGAGATCAGTTTCCTCTCTTTTTTCTCGTGCTGGTCGTTCTGTGTTTTGTTACTCCCCTTCGTACCCCTAGATTTTGGAGGGAACGTAACAAATGGGGGCTCGTCCGATCTTTGAGACAAAGAGTGAGTATCTGTTTGTGGTTTAGCGTTGATATTGTGTTTGGTAGCATTGGCTGTGAAGTCTCTTGCTGTTTAAAAGCTTCCTCAGTTTAGATAGGGGAGTGTCTAGCTGGGCTGAATCAGTCTTTCCTTCAGGCACTCATTTTTTAAGGATGGCTTTTGTTTTGGAGCAGTTTGTGGCCAGTCCTACTGTGGGTCAGCTAGACTGGTGTAGGAAGGTTGATTTGCGGTTAGTTGCTGACCATTATCACGTTTCTGTCTCCTCTGCTCTTGTTAAAAGTGAACTCAAGGCTACTGTGATAACCGGACTGGTTGAACAGGGGGTTTTGAGTCTGCCTACTTCAGTGGAATCTCCTGGAACGGTGGCCGGGGCTGTAGCAGCAGAGTCTCCTGGTGGAGGCCGCGTTGGTGTTACTCCAGGTGTTCAGAGTGCTACGGAACAGGCAAAACTTTTCAACATGCCTCAGTTGGACTCGTTTTCGGCAGGGTCCTCACCTACGGGGTCTAAATTAGATGCCAGGGTAAAAGTGCGTATGGCTCGTCTACAGTGGGAGAAGGAGGAGCGTGATAGGGATTTTCAGCTCAGGAGGGAGCTGGAGATCAGGAAGTTGGAGGCAGACACTGATGTCAGGAGGGAGCTGGAGATCAGGAGGTCGGAGCTGGAGATCAGGAAGTTGGAGGCAGACACTGATGTCCGGAGGGAGCTGGAGATCAGGAAAGTGGAGGCAGACACTGCTGTCCGGATGCGTCAGTTAGAGCTTCAGGCAGCTGGGGGGTGTGATTCTGCCGTTACATCGTCTGGTCCTGCTGCCTCCTTCGACGTAAGTAGGCATATTTCTTTGGTCCCTGTGTTTCGTGAATCAGAGGTGGAGATCTATTTTGGTGCATTTGAGCGCATTGCTGCTGCTCTGCGCTGGCCAGAAGACGTGTGGGCTATTCTTTTACAGTGTAAGCTAGTCGGCAAGGCTCAAGAAGCTTGCTCTTATCTTTCTGTCGAGGATAGTTTAGTGTATGAGAATGTTAAAGGTGCTGTTCTCAGGGCATATGAGCTTGTGCCTGAGGCCTACAGGCAGCGTTTTCGCGGCCTGATGAAAACTTCTGGCCAAACTTACGTGGACTTCGCAAGGGAGAAGAAAGTCCTCTTTGACAGGTGGTGTAGAGCTTGTAAAGCTGACGACATTACTTCAGTGTGTGAGCTAATGATAGAGGAGTTTAAGAACTGTGTGCCTGAGCGTACGGTAGTCTACCTGAACGAGCAGAAGGTAACTACCCTTCAGCAGGCTGCCACTCTGGCAGACGAGTTTGCACTGATACACAAGAGCGTTTTTTTTCAGCGAGACACTTATCGTAGAGCTCCTGACAATTACGTTCCCTGTGCCAGTGTTCCAGTGTTAGATCCCAGGCTAAACAGAGCTTGTTTTTTTTGTCATGACCCAGGTCATGTGATAGCAGACTGTGCAGGTTGGAAGCGAGAGCAGACAGCGGCTGGCAAGCACCCAGAAGGGGTGGGATTGGTTACAGCAGTGCGTCATAGTGGACGGGCCACTGTTAACAAAGGGCCTGATGAGTGTTTGAAACCGTTCATCTCTACTGCTTTTGTCTCTCTGTCAGGAAAAGTGGAGGACCAGCGGCAGGTCACGGTGTTACGAGACAGTGGTGGCTCACAGTCGTTCATTCTTGCCAGTGTCCTGCCCTTGAGTGCTGAGTCTGCCTGTGAGGCAAGTGCGGTGGTAAGAGGTATTGGGATGGGTTGTGTGCCTGCACCTCTTCACAAGATCCAGGTACAGTCTAAACTGGCTACTGGTTTCTTTCCAGTTGCTGTGCTGCCCAAGTTTCCTGTCGACGGAGTGGATTTCATAATGGGTAACGATATAGCCGGGGGTAAAGTGTATCCTACTGCTGAGGTTGTAGACGTTTCAGTCCCTGGTGCTGCAGGTGGTGACCTAGCTCAGACTCATCCGAAGGTGTTTGCAGGTTGTGTTTTGACCAGAACTCGAGGTCCCAAGAGATTATGTTTCTTTTGTCTTGATCCTGGTCATCTAGTGGCAGGGTGTGTAGCTTGGAAGCAGCAGGTGGCAGCTTCCAAGCAGTCTACGGAAAAGTCAAAAGACCAGCACCCAGACTACAATATCGTCATCAAGCACAAGAGGGGAGCAGATAAGGTGGTGGCCGATGTACTGTACTGTGGGTGAGATCACGATTACAATGGGTCACGATTCATGTCCAATAGTCTGAGTGTTTTTGGTAACTGTGGCCAAACACTTGTTTGGTTTTATGGGGGGGGGTGTTACGTGCCGTAGTGTGGGTGTGTGTCTTTCTCTCTCTCCCTCTGATTCTCCAGGTGCAGCCTGATTGTCTCCAGGTGCAGCCTCTCTCCCAGGTGCTCCCAATCCCCAATCAGGGCCTCCATATAGGACCTGAGGAAGGCTGCAGTCGCTCTCCCTTTCTCCTCTGGCTGCAGCACGTCGTCTTGGGTCTCTGTGTGGGACCTGGTTGTCCATTATTGTTGGATTAAATCTCATGTGTGAACAAAGAGATCAGTTTCCTCTCTTTTTTCTCGTGCTGGTCGTTCTGTTTTGTTACTCCCCTTCGTACCCCTAGATTTTGGAGGGAACGTAACACACACACACACACCTACCTCTAGCAGCTTCTTAGAGTCTTGCAGAATGTTGAGACAGTATTTTATCCAACATCTCGCAATCTCTGCTCTCTTCTGCCTGAGCTGCTCCCTGCGCTCGCTCTCTGTCTCACCTGGGTCAGACACAAGATACACAAACATGTTAGGATATGCCAGCAGGAATGATAGATATATCTGGATGAAGTGAGAGTGACTGAGGTGAAAGGAGTCAGACAGAGGAAGGGAGGTAAGATACTTGCACAAAGCTTTGCTACACAGCTGTGTTTGCTCCTGCCTTCCTTATTGCAGTTAAAAATGACAATAGAAATAGGCAAATATGTACGTTTGATATGTTAATTAATGCAAGATTTAGATGCTTACTCTCCTGTGCTGCGGCCTCAGAAGGAACTTCTCCTGCCAAACCCGATATGACAGTTGCCGCTGAGAGACAATGTCTGCCTTCCATGTATCGGCCCTAAACATCACACACACACCTTTCAATACTGAAATGAATTAGATATTACAAACATGCATACCTACTACAACCAAACTTGTATTGTATTGTATTCAAAATTATTTCACTTAGAAAATGTGAAAGACGTGAACAAGACTTTGTAAAAGTAAGGTAAAACAGATAGATTAGACAGATTAAACCATTTTGGATGAGTACAAACTCAAATTAGGGTATGGCGATAATTGAATATAATAATGAATCGTCTTTCAATGGAATAATATTGTGATTAAATCCTGTATTAAGAAATGATACAGTTATGTTGTCTATATTGGTAATAACCAGCACGTACTGACATGAGCAAACTATTGTCTCAAATTGATGTCAAATCCTTTAAAATGTTTCAAAGGTTTTAAATCAATAATTTTCAATTAATTCATATCCATCCGTGCCCTACCTTAGTGATGTAATACTGCGATAGTGTGGCAGCGTTCAGAGCCCACTCCATAGGACTGAACTGATTTAACTTTAACTGTCTCTGCAGGGTGCTGTGGCAGTAGATGGCAGCACGCTCAGTTTCACCTGGGAGATAAAACACTTTCATTACCATCAACCACTAGCTAAACAGAATAAGGCTATGCTTCATTATGATTACATAGATAAATATGTGATCAGAAGCAGTCTTCAGAAATGTCTTAAAGCAAAACATTACTCATTAGATTAATTAGAGACTCTTAAGTTCAATATATATGTTTTATATTATTGAATGTATATTACATAAATGATTAAGTATGACTTTTTCATAAACCAATACATGTATACTGTTGTATTTGACTCAAACAACATCAAACTCACCAAGGTTTTTATAGACTTGAGCAAGGTAGTACATGGTATGGGTGTAGGCCAACTCAAACCTGGAAAAGGGAAGTAGGAGAAAGATATAAGGGGAAGGCAGAGTGTTGGAGCTATATATCTCTTTATATTATTTAATAGTTTAACATTTATTTTATTGTAAATGTATTCTTAGTTAGCGTCATAGTAGTTTCTATGCTTTTATTTTGAAGGCATGTTTGGGCACTGATTAGAGCACCAGAGGCCTGGGGGGTATACTACGAATCAAGATTTTCGTTTAGCAAGCTAACTTCAGGGGTTTCCGGTCCTACGAAGCTGGTTCACTTTTTAGCGGGCTAGATAACTTATTCTGAACGGCTAGCCTCCGGAGCAGGATAGGTTCCAGGATAAAAGCCCTGCCTGCTGACCAATCAGAGCTCAGTGTGCGGAGTTTAAAGCGATCAATTCATATGACAGGAGGAGAAAGGAAATACAGTTTAAACTGCCGTTGCAGGAAAGACGGCCGGCCAAAATCACAGACTGTGTGAGCGTGAAAATTAATAGAATATCCCCTCCCATCTTCAGAGCAATCTGACTATTATAATATTAGCATTAAGAAAGCTTACTTAAATATCTGCCACGACATAAGTAACCGGATCAGAGTAACATTAAGTACAGTCCGCGGCACTGTGAGTGCAGACGTCGATGTGTCCCATTATCATTCATATCATATCACATCATAATGTATCATATATTTCCTTATCTGAGTCAGCTTCTTGAGCCGTATCTGGCCGTGCAACACTCAGTGTCACATACTGTATGCAGAAGTATTATTTGAAGCAACACATTAAGTTGACGAAACACTCGAGTCAAATTCTCCTAATTAAAGTCAGATCCACTCGTGTCTTATACGGGGCAGTGATATTATAAACCTGTTAATGTACGCATTCAAACACTTTTTCTTTTACCAGCTGTATTCACCTTGCAGGTGCAGCTATGTGGCTTTTATCCAGGATAAAGTGTTTAAGTCATGGATGTTTAAAGTTTAACTTCTTCATATTTGACTAATATTAAAGTTCACTTTTCATTCAGGAAGTATGACGCTGCGCTGTCAGTACGCTTGTCCGTGTTTGAGATTGGTCGAATGCTCCAAATACCACCCCTTTCATGTGAACGCGCACCTAACTAGATAGGACACGGCTGGCTTGAGCGATCCACTTGATAACCAGCGTCGTAGTACAGTTTAGCCAGAGCGTGTATGTTTTGGATTGGGCCAACCGGCTAACTCAAACATATCCAGGTTAGGTTGAACCAGCTTCGTAGTACAGGCCTCTGGTGTAATTGTATATATTGGAGACAGGTGGGTGGTAGGAGCCAGAGCACTAGTAGGCAAACAGTTTTTTACCAGGGTGTTTCAAGCCACACAAAGGAAAGCCATAGGAAAGGCTTAAAGAAAAGAGATATAGGAAACCTGTTCATTGTATTTTGTTATTGGAATAAAATGCACAAATGGAGGTTCTTGTCTGGACTTGGATGATCATTGCCCTGCGTAACATCTGCAAACTAGTGCCTCAGCGGCTGTTTTAGGTCTATAGGATTTTGGCCGCTACACAGAGCATAACAGAGAAAGAAACAAACCCAGTGTACATCAATGACCACACATCATGCAAACACTCTGTAAATGTACATACAGCTTTTGTATGGGGATATTAAAGGTGACAAATTACCTCTTGGTCCTTTCCTGATGTGTCAACTGGTTCTCTTCAGTACTGAAGTAATCTGCCATGTCAGTGGGTGGACTTCCATCCTGGAAAACATTTGAAAAAAGAACTATGGCTCCTGCAGTTGCAATAATCAAATTCTCGGCTATCACTTTTGTGGTTTTTATGTTGTGTTTTTTAACACCCAACAACTAGGCCACAATCCCATTTTGCTACCTAGTTGTGTACACATGTTATTCTCATTTGAGGTTAGGAACACATTTAAGTCATAATGTAGCACCATGAAAAAAAATCTGAGGTCAAAGAAACATACAAGGTCAAAAGCAAAAAACACATTTTCTTACTTAACGAAAAATACAAGAATTATGTATAGTATTATGTATGCCTATGATATTTATTTTCTCTAGATTTTCCATAAACCACACCAACCTTACCTCTTTCATATAACGTTGGTAGATAGATTCAGCAGTTTCAAGAAATCCCTGAGCGGTCTCCGTCTCATCGCGGCCGGCCCACAGGATGCCCAACTGGTTCTGTTACACAAACAGACAACACATGGGTTAGTGATCAGCATCATCTGATCTCCTACTACATTATAATAGATATTTACTCAATTGACGGAATCGAGATTTAGTTTATTTCCAAGTAGGATTTCACATAAAGGGAATTTGCCATGATATACAATTGTGCATGTATACAATTAGAAATGGAAAAATAGGAACAGATATTTAAAAATAAAACATAAATAAACAACAAAGGACAAACAATACAACATATCACCACTTACTGCACAATAAACGTATAGACGTTTTAAAGTGGAAGTATAGTGCAGAAATGTGCTAAATTGTTTGAGAAATGTGCAAATAATACCAGTAGTATAAGGAAGATTTGGTAGCGTTTACTTTTTATTAAAGTGTGTAAAAAGGGAATGGTGGTGCAAACTGCTGTCCCACAGGCCTACACATGGCATTGTTTATGATGACATTGTCAATTATATTGGGATTTAGCAACATCAATCAGTCAGTCTGTGATGTTTGGTCACACTGCACCATTTTTGTCAACATTACTGTTAAGAAAGTAATCGTTACCCTGGCATGGATAAACAGTGACACATTCTCCGAAGATACCCTGCATTTCCCCAGCAGCTTCATGCAGTTCATCAGATGCTCCTGCCCGGCGGACAGCTCCTCTGTGTCCACATGGTTGACGCCCAGGTAGTACTCCACCGCCCCGAGTTTAGCGGCCCGCAGCCCGGCTGGAGAGTCTCCGCAGAAGCCCTGACTGAACGCCTCCTCAGTCTGCCCGTCTACCGGAGCCTCCACCGGCAGCTGCTCGCCGCTCTCTCCGGTCTCTCCGGTCTCTCCGGTCTCTCCGCCGCTCTCCTCCTCACCTTCCCCGGCCTCAAAACTCTTCAGCGAGCAGTATATCTCCCTGAGGAGCTCCCTAGCCTTGTATTTGGAGCGGAACGGGTCATTGTCTGGGTCATTAAGTGATTCTACAACGGTTAAATTCTGGGCGTTGGTGAATTTGTCACAAATAGCTCTCCACTCATCACTGCTGACGGACGCCATGTTGATCTTCTTCTTCTTTTTCGTTTTGACTACAGATACCACAACTACCACTCTTCTTCTCTGAGGCTTTTTTTGGTGGATTGCAATACCAACTTTTAGGTGCATACTGCCATCTACCGTGCAAGATTTTGTAGGACAGGATATTATTCTGATTATGTATGAGCTTTATTTATTGAGTGTCTCCAATGTATTTGTTGTGAGCAGTGGTGTAATATAACAAATGAGTTTAGAGCTGCTTAGAACAATGTTCAGGCCTACTTTACCAGTGTTTCTATGTTTTGCTTCTCTTTACCTCTAGATAATTTCAGGGGGAAATATTGTACTTTTTAGTCAACTCCATATTTTCGTATTGCTTCAGAATGGTCACGAGTGACATATGATGCAAGGTTTTTGATTAAACGGTCCAACAGCCTATAGCCTACATTAAAAATAACCTCTTTAACAAATAACTATATTACCGCAAAAATATAATAGGCTCTATTAACTAGATAAGCAATTTAACTGCATTTGCTGATAATACTTATAGTTTTAGCTAAGTAAAAGTGCAGGATGTTTGACTAAATAGCCCTAAGTGATTACAGGGTTAAAGGATTAGAATCGCTTTTTGACAACTGGTTTTGAAGATATTGATCAATTCCTTTTTTATTTAAATGCATAAATAATCATTCATTTCCTGTAATTTGATTGGTATCTTTTAACTTTGTTGAAAACAGTAGTTGTTTTATTCCAACATGGCATTAGGTTGCAGAGCAAAGTGTTGAGTGTAAATACACAGCCGTGTTCTCCTTGACATTTACCACGGTAGAATATCTGACTTTGTGAAGGACGACTCATTCCTGCCAATGAACATGGAACATGACTTTAAAACAATTATTAGATTAAAAACGAAATCACAAAGCTGAACTTTAAAAGAATAAATCACTCACTTGCTTAATTGTGTTCAACTTGGTTAAAGCCAGTTTATTTGGACAACGCCAGAGATTCAAATGAATAATTAGGGAAAAATAATATTTATTATACAATGACAATAAATTAATGTGAATGACATGAGAACAACACACAGTACATGTTTTGGTCAGCACTGACAGAAGCAGCTTTTCTTATTTATTACAGTGTAATAAAGCCATATCGGCTTCTCGTACACATTCTGTTTTCATTGTTCAGCTTAACATTTTACTCCAGAGTAAAACAAACAAAGAGCTTAGCTCTCTGTGTGTCCTCTGCATTTAAGTAAAGGTTAATGAATGAAAGTGCTTAGCAAAGTATAATGTGCCATGGTGTGGACACATTTGCACAAACTGACCTCAGGCTGAGTTCCCATTGACATATCATTATTTGTTCCATTAATAAGCCAGTTAGAAAGCAACACAAATATTATTGCTGATGACCTAAAACGAGTGTAACAGCCAGTGTGAAAGACAGCTAACTGTCAGACTGGTTAGCTAAGTGTACATTTACCCATATTATATTTTGTGTCATGATGAATTTAGAAAAAATGTAATTAAATCATAGCAGTTTACTCAAATTCTTGAAGGAAAGCAAATTATTTTTTTCTGTCTGTTTAGTAAAAAGTGATTAAAACTTGTGAGGATGATCAATCTTGGTAACATCCGGTTTGAATGGCGAAAGTGGCACAGCTTCATTGAGATAACATGTTTATATTCAGTAGTTTTAATGTTCAGGTTATTGTGGCTGTTGAAGCAGTCAGGCGCCACTCTGCCATTAAGATCCCTTCTTCTTGTCCATGCTGCAATGAAAAAGAAACAGTCAGAGTGCTTACATTTCTCTTTTATCCCTTCACCTTAATGTCAAAGATTATTAAAGGATTTTGGACATGTGTTTTATTATTCTAGGTCTCATTATCATATCATAACAGAGTAGAAATCTGAAAAAAGCGTTTCATGATACATGATCTGTTCCCAATGACAACAGGAAATCCCACCATAAATGATTGCTTACTTGTATTTAATGAGACGACTTCCCTGGATAAGCTGTGCAGACTCGTTGGTCAAATGGCAGGCGAACAGCAGCCAGTTACGTGGCTGCACCTTGTAGGCGAACCTCATGAAGAGCAGGGAATAGCAGGACAGAGCTGAGAGGATGAAAAAAAAACACAGGCAATGGTTTATTTAAGTGTTTTCTTCTCTTAAATCACTAAGTGATTGGCACTGATTTGTTATAATCTATATACTTTTTGTATTTTTTTAATATACTTTATTACCATATCAAGTCTAAAATGTTCCTGCAACATCAATAAGGACAAATATGTATTCTATTCCTATTTGTTTTTATATACTCCAATAAAGACCTAATGTTTTGTACAACACATTGACCAAGTTTTCAGTTCCTTTGAATTCAGAATGTGAGGTATAAAAGAAGCAGTCAAATAAAATATCTTCTGTTACCTAAAGAGAGAAATTGCAGCTGTAGTTTACAATCGTTTAATTCTAAGAAATCTTGATAAAATGTTAAACTGACAAACCAAACCCTAACAAAGTTATTCATAAACGGGTGGGTGCTCTTTATGTCTACGTCTGGCTTTATCTTACCAAAGGTCATCCTGCCACTGATTATCTCAGGGCTCTTCTTCATATCTGTGATGGCGGCTATAGGAAGACCCCAGTTTGCTATTGGACCCCAGAAATGCTGTACAGATAAACACAAAGGGAGAAATATAGTTTTAAGCATATGTAGGTAGGACACAAACAGAAAGCTTAAACTAGACATAACCGAAGGGAATCACAGATAAGGTGAAACGCAGATAGAAATATACTGACAGCAATAAGACAAACAACAAGGATGAGTACTTACTGTGCTTTTGGACACGTTGTTTTTTTTCAGGGCCACATAGAAGAGAGAAGAACATAAATAAGATATGAGATAGGGGCCAATCAAGAGCTGCTGCCATGCAAAACAGAACATAGGTCAGTTTCAGGACAGATACATTCACAAAATATGACAAGCAAACTGCTACAATTTAAAAAGCACGGCTTTGCAGGAAGTAAAAAATACTTCTTTGTTCCAAAATGAATGAATAATGAGTGTGGTAACATTTAAGTATCTGGATGTCCACTTTATTCATAACACCAGCTAATCTGTGTGTTCTACACAGAACACGCCACCACAGAAAGCCTTGTTCTGTCAGAAAGCCTCCCCTACAACTACAGTGTATTTATATAACCTTCTAAATGTTTTACTAATTGTTAAAGACAAATCTCTTCAAAAAATAACCCCAGGGGGATAACCATCTTTATCTGTTACAAATGTCAACAAAGATGGCTTCTTGCGTCACTGTGTTACAATTTAGCCTTTACTCTACATTTAGCGCCAGGGCAACATGTACACATTTATATAGTAGTTCTCTCTGTTTAGATGGGTTATAGCAGGTTAGGATTAAAAGGATTAATCCCTTGGTAAAGCTCCCTGCAAGTATTAACAGCACAAAAAAGCCCCATATTTACTGGCTACAGCATTTAAAACGCTCACAATAATGCAGCATAACTATTCAATAATATAGTATATTAATGGGAATACTGACCAACTTTTGGTAGTGTAAGTACATTTTGATGCGTATTATTGTTGGACTTTTACTTAGTAACATTTTGAACTCCAGAGAGCATTCCTACACTGCGGTATTGCTACTTTTACTAAGATATCTGAGTTCTTACTCCACCAATGTTAATGACATACCGTAATTAGTTAGATATGCTTTAAAAAAACAAGTTTATCCACAATCTTCTCTCAATGTATTGGCAACCTCACAAACTGGAGACACAAGTTAAATGAGAAAGTCTTACTAACGTTGAATAAAGAGCAAATGTCCTTGAAAACTAGCAGAGCACTGAGAGAAACGATACCATTATAACACAATTAAACAAACACATTGTTGACAATTGTCATTAGATTTTATGAAAACATTATGTTGGACAGAACACGGCAGTAAATCAACCCCTTGTTATACCCCTCGTATGTCACACGACAGCCACCGGAGCTAACGCTACTTTAGCATGAGAGCTAATAGAAAATATAACAGCTTCATTTACATACCTCATCAAATATTCCCTGAACTCCTTGCTCTTCAGGTGGTCGATAGCTTTCCGTGCAATAACCCCTGCCATGGTTTAACGTTGGTGTGGTGTGTTTAAGCCGAGATGAGCACTGTTTCTCTGCTGAAGGGCGACTGAAAGCTCAACTCAGAGGACGACTGGTGCAATTTCCGACCACAACATTGGCGTTTTACGACACTGTCGCAATGACGCAGCGCTACCTCAGCAGTCCAGCGCATGGTCCAGCCATGGATGTATAATAAGAACGGGTCCAGCGCTTCTTATTATACATCCATGGTCCAGCGCCATCAGTCCACCATCATGGATGTATAATAAGGACCATAGACAGTTCACTTTTTTTCAAGAAAATATATAAACATCAATGGAAGCTTCCATACATAACTTTTAAAATGCATGAGAATGTGTCTGTTTCATTGAAACCAAAAACATTAAAAAAACTAAACATATAATATTTTTGGAAGCCTTAAAAGAGTGCAGACGACGCAAAATACCTAAATATTTGCACAAAAAAAACGTGTTTGCATTTTTCATCAATTTCCTCTTTGACTTTCTCTCTTATCTTCAGTAAGATTTTTTTTTTTTTGTGCAAAATAGGGGACAGATCCTTTTCCTTCTGCTTCTGGTTCAGGATCATCTCTTCAATTTGTTACTATGAAATGCAAAAAAAAACATCCATTTCACTTATGACCAAGATGCTCTCATTCTTAGTAAGGAGCCAGTTCTCACCACTCCCTGTACAGGCGTAGGAACAACCCTCCAATCAACACAGGGGAATTGTGACATTTAGCTGTAACAAAATCAGTCAAATGGAAATTACAGTAAGTTCCAAAGAATGAAGGACTGCTATACATAACCTCCACCACAGACCACAAGGTACAGCATCAAGATTACTTTAATTAATGTCTACAGAGATTAAAATCTGCTTATTTATTTCAGTAATTTATTCATACT